GAGTTGATGCCTCTTGGATCATTTGTTGGCTGATTTCTTTAGCTACTTCGGCTTTCGTTTCTGTCAGGTCCTTGTCATCCAGTTTCTGGAAGGTTATCTTCAGCGATGGATGATAAAGTAAAAAGTGAAAAGTATTTCACTACCTCATTGCTGCCTGTGAGGGTAAGACTGTCCAAGCACTGCGCAAGTTGATCAGCAACAGCTGTGGCTCCTTTCTAGAAAAATTAAGCCAATTTACAAAAAAGAAAAGAAAAAAAGCGATGAAGTGGAAACTCCTAACCTCAAGAGCCTGATTCAGATCGTCGGTATCCATACTGATTCTCATCACTTTGGGTGGCTCTTCCAGATCATCCAACAAACCGTTCTCGCCAGGTTGTTCAGGAGTATATGGAGGCTGAAGAAAAAAGCTGTTGATGCATCACAAATGACATACGCAAAATTCTAATAGGTTTTTCTAATATTGGGCCTACTCTCTAACAACATCTATAACTATACCCTAAGCTAGAAAGCGATGGAAGCATGCGTGCAAGATAGAATAAGAACCTTGAACTCTTCAGGAATGTCGCCTTCTATTCTTACACCAGCTGGAGGTGGAGGTGTAGGATGTGCAATTGACGGTAAACCGAATGGTTCAGCCGGTGCGCCATGTATATCCATAGGACTTACTGGTGCAGGCTGAGGTTGAGGTGCATGATCTGGTTTTTCCGGTTTCGGTGACGGACTTCTGTCTTTAGGTACCGGTGAAGGTGTCTCGCCATGTGAGTCATCAGAAGTCGGAAGTTCCGGATACAATTTCGGTGGTTTGCTGTCTCCAGCACCTTCGTCATGTGGTGGCCCATGTGGATGATCAGGAACGGGCTCGTCATGTTTCGGTTCGGGTTCAGGCTGTAAAATAGGCTTTTTATCGTTCGGTGATGGTGCACGATTGGAGTCCGGAGATGGAGAGCGTGCAGGCGCAGTAGGAGGAGGATGCTCAGGAGATGTATCCTTCAAATCTGATGGATGCTCTGGAGCCACATCTTTGTCTTTCTTCTGATCCGAATGTTCATCATGCTCAGGCATTGGTACAGTTGGCTTATGATCTTCTGACTCCTTTTTCATATCTTCC